CGAAATCTTTAATTTTTGGGGGAACTATCTCTTTAAGACAAGACACTGCACATGATTAGGGTAAAATAATAGCTAATTGTTATCATCATAGTTCAACAGTTGATTGATAACTTCAAGAATTGCTCATTTTTTTTGCATTACAATTATATAATTGTATACACTGGACAATTTGGCCTAGAAAACCGTAAATTTTCATGTTGTGTTGGTAAATCAATATATATATAGAAAAGTCAAACTTTAAATTGGAAAATGACCACAATTTCATTGAAATAAAATTTCATTTTTGAGCGAGATGCTAATGGTCCAATCCGATTCAATGATCTATGCTAAGCTAAGCTAAAAGTGCTCCCGCCAGACCCAGAAAATTAAAAATGGTAAAACACAACTGTTAAATCTAGGAGAGTTGTAAAATGAGCCTATTTCCGAAAAAAAAAATTTTGTGTTTCTTTAAGAACGACCTTACTTTCTGTCAACTTTACATTTAATCAACTGGTAAAGTATTACAGCTCAGATAAATGTTTTGTGTCTAATTGTTTAGTTTTGTGGCCAAATCTCATGTAAAAAATGAGATTATGCACATCTAATCAGTTGTTTTCAGAATAAAGCCCTTCGGTTTTATACAAAAGCGCTCCGCTTTGTCAGGATGCTGATGGCTTTATTCTGTGAGAACAACCGGCTGGATGTACATTATCCTATACTTATGCAAAGTCATTATTTATTCAAATATGTATAACTTCTATACATTTCATTGAAAAACAAACAAATAATTGTGATAAAACAGCCATTAAAATACGTTGTGTGGTTAAATTTTACAGAATTGGTAGAACTGGTAAGTCTCACACTTAATAATGATTTTTAATCCTAACTCCGAGTAGTGCTGCAAAATTAATAACATGAAAACAGCATATTTAATTGTTTATCCTTGGCATGTGATGGCTTTGAACGCTCGGACTTTGAAGTGTTGTTGCCTACTGCACACAAAGATCTGAAAATACAACATCACTGGCGTCTTTTAGTCTTTGGGTGTCTGTCAGACTGCCTGATTTATGAAGAGGCCAGCAAAAAAATAGATTACCACTGTATATCTGCAACTTACTATTAATTGTGTACATATCGTATGTGCATACATACTAAAATTACAAATATAAACAATTACAATAATACAATAAAGATACAATATTCCTAATATCACAAATATATTAAGGTTAAATCTATATATTATATAGATATAGTGTATTTAAAACTTTTAAATTAAACATTTATATAATTACAAAAATATTACAGTTCTATTCCACCCCATAAATAAAAGAAACCATATCAAAACCTCTTTTATCTCTGTGTTTATCTGAAAATAGCTGCAAATCAGACTCAATCAGCAGCCATACGTTATATTTGTAAACAATAACTAATAAATATAACATGCATACACCGATAATCAAAGAAAGCAAACATTTATCATATTTTTATCATTACAGAATGAAATATGACCCACGCATGTCCTGACAGGTGTGCTGAGACTAACACACGCATCATGTAAGTCACTACTTTAAATAAAAAAAAAAACATTAAAAGCTTATATTTTCTATCAAACTTCAAAGCAGCCAATGCGTTTTGATGTATTATGAGGGCCTGTGCAATGCAGCTCCAGTGAACCCAGAGGCGGCTCATGTTAGAGATCACAGTAATATTATCCAAACTGAAAGAGGGCGAAGAAGACACAGAAGGAGGAAAACAAGTAGCAGAATAGATTATTTCAACCCAGTATGAACCATATATAAAATAGATCACACTATATAAGCACTTATATATGCACATTATTACATTTTAGGTGCATATTTGACCCAAAATGCTCGCAGTTTTGAGCCCTGCATGCTCCTTTTCCATAAAATTTCTCAAAATGTTGGCCTTTTTGTAAACACATCATGAAATGCTGAAGATATCAAAAATATTTAAGAGCAATAAACTCAATTTTAATGCAGCAGAGCGGTCCTCAGTGTGTTTTGAAGATTTGTTATGCCTTTTCCTTTCTTTTATTTATTAATGTTAAAGGAAATTTCAATCAAAAATGAAGATTTACTCACTATTTACTTACACTCAGGTGGTTTCTAAACCTTTATGAGTTCCTTTATTCTCAAAATGTTACTAATTTCAAACATTTATGAGTTTCTTTCTTTTGATAAACACAAACTAAGATATTTTGAAGAATGCTGCAAACAACCGTGCTTGTCTAGGACAAAAAAAAAGCTAATTTTCATTTTGTGTCGGTCTTGAAATATAATGTAAATAATAAAAAATTCTATATATATATATATATATATATATATATATATATATATATATATATATATATATATATATATATATATATATATAGAACAGTCAAACTTTAAATTAGAAAATTATCGAAATTAACGAGATGCTAATGGTCTAATCCGATTCAATGATCTATGCTAAGCTAAGATAAAAGCGCTCCCGCTGGAGCCAGAGATTGGATAAATAAGATTAAAAATAGTTAAACTCAGGCGGCTAATAATTTCAAACATTTATAAGTTGCTTTCTTCTGATGAACACAAAAGAAGATACTTTGAAGAATGTTGCAAACAACTGTGTTTGTCTAAGGCAAATAGCATTTTAAGGGATAAACCCACCCTGGCCATAGTCTGCTCAAGCTCATGCCATCAGGCAGGCGGTACCGAAGCCTGAGGAGCAAATCAGTGCAGTTGTGTAATCCTGTCATCATAAGACTTTTGAATAAGACCATATTTTAAATACAATTGATAGCTTGTATGTAACAATAAATGTATAAACAGTTAAACTGGCACAAATTGTCAACATAACTATTATAACAAACTGTGTAATAGTTATTTAAGTATTCCCTTTTTTTTAAAGGGGTGGTCCAGAGTGTATTTTTAAGGCTTGGTTGTGTTTATGGGGTGCAAAGCCATGTGTGCCCATGCTTCATTTGTAGAAAATCATGTTGTTTTTTTGTCAGATATCTTACATTGATTAAATACAGCTACTCTGCTAACATGAAAACAACTGTCATATTACTTAGTTCCTCTGAAGACCCACCTACATAAGGCTCTGATTGGTCAGCTAACATAATGTGCTGTGATTCCCAGATCAGCTCCACATCACCAGGAAGTGTCTCTGTTATAACATTACAGTGCCTATGGCCACGCCCCTTTGCTGCACAGGGTGTATGTACATAACCTGAAGAATTTATGACATCATTAACCTGGACCTATTTTTTAGTAGTCCCCAAACTTCGTTTGCTGTAGGCTTTGCTAAGCTAACTCTGTAAAAGCCAATGTCTCCTTTTGCATTGAACTTTAAACGTATTACATTCAGAGATGTTGTTTATGTTCACACAGCTACATTACACATTAACTAAAGTTTAAAATATGATATTATAGTGGACCAGCCCTTTGAATTGGGTTACATTTATATATATATAAAACTATATTTTTATATCTTTTTAAAATTACAAAAAGCTTGTTTATCAGGTTTGTTGGGTTTTTACAGTGTTTGTTGTTATTGTTGGGTCCAATGTAACGTAATTTCTTGGGAGAAAGTAAATAGTCAGTAATTATTTATTTTTGGGTGAACTATCCCTTTAAGACAAGATACTGCAGATGATTAGGGCAAACAAAAATAGCTAATATTATCATCATACTTCTCCAGTTGATAAATAGCATCAAGAAATGCTAATTTTTTCACTAGGAGGCCTAGGAGTATAGTTCCTAGACACATCGGCCTAGAAAATAGCAACTTTTCATGTTGCGTCAGTCTTAAAGCAATGTAAATCAAACAAATATACAAAAATCAAACTTTAAATCAGAAAACCAACAAAATTTGATCCAAAATAAATGTACATTTTTGAGCGAGATGCTAATGGTCTAATCCGATTAATTAATTACGATTAACATAATTGTGTTCAGCATTATAATTTATTGCAATGCTTTGAATGACAAAAATAAAGGAAACTGAACTAAAACCTGTGTTGACTTCCACAGTACTATTGACGGTTATAGGTTTCCAAATATCTTTAAAGTATTTTCTGTTGTGTTTATCAGAAGAAAGCAACTCATAAATGTTTGGGATTTTTGAGTGAACTATCCCTTAGCCACAATACATTGTAAAGTGCGCTATAGAAATGAAGATGAACTGAAAATATGTTTCACAACATTACATGAAGGGCTCAGTGGTTAGCACAATCCCCTCACAGCAAGAAGGTTGTTGGTTCGAGCGCTGGCTGAGTCAGTTGGCATTTCTGTGTTGAGTTTGTTGAGTTTCCCCCACAGTCCAAGGACATGCCCTATAGGTGAATTGAATAAGCTAAATTGGCCGTAGTGTGTATGTGTGTGTGTGAAATAGTGTGTATGGGTGTTTCCCAGTGTTGGGTTTGCGGCTGGAAGGGCACCTGCTGCGTAAAACATATGCTGGATAAGTTGGCGATTCATTCTGCTGCGGCGACCACTGATTAATAAAGGGACTAAGCCAAAAAGAAAATGAATGAACATTAAATGTCCCCCTCGCACACCTATCACACCTTCGGTCTCACCACAGAAACCAGACTGGTTACACTCATACCCCAAATTACACTGTCTTGAGCTTCTTTCTTTGTGTAATTACCGGTAATCTGCCTGTAAATGAAATTATAGTGGGCAAATGAAACCACTTTGCGGACAGCTTAAGTATAGGAAACCTGGCCTCCCATTCTCCGTGACGCAAGGCTGGACTCTGTAAGATCCAAGTGTCGCTCTAAAAACAGAAGCTATCCGTAATAAAGGACTACAGTATTTATGACTCTCCGCCCATTGGCCAGTCTGATACCTTTAAATTGTTCCGTGCCACTCGTAAAAATACAGCTTCAGCGCTTTGTGAAGCCACATCAACTACATCAAAACCTGTAAATAGCTTGTACAGCGCATACACACGAGATTAGACGGCGAACAAAGTCCAAAAGAGGCGTCAAGAAGACAATGAGGAGAATTTACCTGGGGAATTTACCTCCAGTAGCCGCTGGAGGTCGCTGATGCTGTTGATTTCGCTGTGGGACAGTCTGTCGATGAACTCCTGAGGGATGGGAAACTCCTTCTGGAGACGCACAAAAATAAATCTTTTTGAATTTTGGACGACAAATAAAGTTATTTATACATGATGTATTGACAAGCGCGCATCAGTTACAAGAATTACACTCCTTAAAGTTGATAAATCATCCGGAATAACTGTTTATCACATGTATACATTCATTTCAACAATAATACAACACATCATGCGATATTAAGTATATTTAAGTACATAAGCAGCTAAAATAAGGTTTTCCTCAGATTTCAATAAGCAAAATACCTTATCTAAATTAGGCTACTCCTCATTAAAATGATGCGCAGTGCCATTTGACGAAAACAGCTCAAGTACATCACATCAGAGTCTCGTCTGTTTGTATGTTTCTATGATATTTTGAAGGTTTGACAGAAGAGGGCGATCTTCAATAGTCAACCCCCTTCCCATGATTTTGTACAGTAAAAACAGCAGGGACATTAGCAGAAATAGATATTGTACACGAGGCCAGTAAGTGACCATGAGTGAAGCTTGGAAAATGGCATTTCATAATCTATCTATCTATCTATCTATCTATCTATCTATCTATCTATCTATCTATCTATCTATCTATCTATCTATCCATCTATCTGCATAAATAAATATAAAATGAAACGGACCACTTCGTCAGGTAGCCTAATAAATGCATAAATATGTAAATGCTGTCGCAAAATATTTCAGATATCTATATTTTTATGACATGTTCACACGCAAACACAGCTGAACTGATATCATAAACTATGGATCTTACATGCACTTGGGATCATAGCATGCAAAGATCGTTTATTATATACCATAATGCGAATACACCTCATAAATGTACACATTGAGGGAACTGAACCGATTTATAGCTTTATGATGAAATATGAGGCTGATTATATAAACTCTGCGACCTGATTTGGTGTGACAAGACAATCCAGAACATGTTGGATGTAACAAGTGCTTCTTTCTTATTTCTGTGAGCTCTTTACCTCAGCAGCTGCCAGCAGAAGGTGCGAGGTGAGGAGCAGAAAGCAGCAGAATAAGGTTCTCATCTCCTTCCAATGTCAATTTCCCACCCAGCAAGAAAGATGAAGACTGTAGGAGCTTTGGATCCGCTCCTGAGCTCAGAGAGTCCAGAACCATACCTTGAAGAGATCTCTCTATAAATGACCCGATGCACCAGCTCAAGTCTAAAGAGGAAAAAAAAATCCGAGCTGGAGCTCCAGGTGTTGGTCCAAATGCTGGAGAAGAAGAAAAAGATCTCAAAAGTTGCAAAAGGTCGTCATGGCTGTCCAACAATCCGAAGAGTTAAAGCCTTTTGCATTGCCTATGCCAATTAATGAAGAATACAACTCTTTGGGAATCTTCAGAACAGTTTAGAAGTGAGTCCATGCACCTCATGTGGAGCTCAGCACCGGCTCTTCCAAAAGTGGCTCGTCATGCGGTGAAAGTACAATCCTAGCAGGTTAGTATCCATGAATAAAGCAAGGAGGGGAAGAGCTCAGAGCTGGTCTTGTTCCCAGGAGCTCGTGCACTGAATGCTGTCTCATGCGCGTCTGATCTGCGGAATATATGCGCCTCCCCTCGCGCTCCGGTAATCACCGATGAGCGCTCGAGGAGGCGGTTGGCTGGAGCTGCATGTCAAATTTAACCCTTCAACCCCTCATTGAGGCGCTCGATCTTACATCTGAGCCTAGTTTACAATGTGACAGCTGAAACGGGTCATCTTAGTAATCATGCCAGAGTATGCAAACTTTCACCAATCTACATATGGCCTCGAATTATTTCATATTGCTTTCTTTACGCTGTCTTCAACGGAAAAGTAGACTAGCAAACAATTTCTGCACTCTAAATGTGAAGAAACCTCATGTTAGGAAATTTATTTACAGCAGCTTATCTAATAGAGTGCAGTGATTTACATTTGATTTTATTGCACTGTTCTTTGATTTGTTAAAACACGTTACACTTGTTAAAAATAGTACATGTATATATATTATGAAGAATTAATTTAATTAATTGGGCGCATTTAAAGTCCACATGAAAACAAAATGTGCAATATCTATTTTGCTAGCGCACCTTCCCAGGTAGCTAGAGCAAAAATTCTGGCCCAGATTTGGCATAAAGCTGGCACAGCAGGCATTCGTCCAGTGTTCTGACGATCTGTGCTACCTCCTCAGAATGTGCTACCGGTAGCTCAATCTGTCATGTTTCATCTACCAAAACAGGGTTAGCACATCCGGTCAGCTTTAAATGTCTATCAGGATGAACTACCACATTAAATAAAGATGTAAAAACAGGGGTAGCACATATTGTCATCTTCAAATGTCTATCGAAATTAACTACTACTCTATTGGACAATTTAGAAAAAGGCGTAGCAGCTTCAAATGTCCTACAACCTTATTTTTTGTTTCATTATTTTTATATTTAATTTGTTTATTAGAGTGGTCATTCATTCCGATTGACATTTGAAGCTGAAAAAAAGGTCTACTCCTGTTATTACACCCTTTTTTCAGATGAACTATGACAGATTGAGCTACCAGTAGCACATTCTGAGGAGGTAGCACAGGTTGTCAGAACACCGGCACTGGCATTCAGCATGTGGGCCAAACATGGTTCAGTTTTGGCAGAGGTAGCAATGTCTGTAAGGTGGCACACAAGACTTGGCATATATATCAATAGTATTTGGCCCAGATGTTACAAATTTATAGGTTGGCCACGTAAGTGTGTGTGCGGACTATCTTGACCCTCTTTTACAATTCTTTTCATCAGCATGGACCTTTTGAGCTAGACTTTAATGTAGGGATGAAGGAGATGGTAAGAGAACAGTGTACAGCAGGGGTGTCCGAACTCGGTCCTGAAGGGGCCAGTCTCCTCCAGATTTTAACTTCAACTTGCTTCAACACACCTGCAAGATGTTTCTAGAAAGCCTAGTAAGAGCTTGATTAGCTAGCCCAGGTGTGTCTGATTGGGGTTGGTACTACACTTTGCAGGACACTGGCTCTCCAGGACCGAGTTTGGACATGCCGGGTGTACAGGATAAACCGTGAACAGAAAGGTACTGTAGGTTGATCAGGCATCCTAAGATGATGCCCTGAGACTCAGAGTGGGGGTAATGTCTCTATAATATTTTGGTAGCGTGATTGGACCCCTGATTCAACCTAGGAGTGAAGAGAGGATTATAGGATTGTTAATGGGAAGTGAGGAAATTGAGGGAGGGAGGAAGGGTTCGAGAAGCGAGAAGAACAGTGTCCAGTAGGAGATTGGTTAAGGAGACAAGAGAGGCTTGGTTCTGCTGCCAAACTTTTGTTAACAAGTTAACTTCATTTAAATAATTTTTTAGGTTAGAAAACATTTGTACCAATTGGGTTGCTTCGAGAAAAAGCACAGCCATAAAGCGAAATGCTTGATGGATTCAGTGGTCAAATTCATTGCAGTCGTGACACTCTAACATATCTGGCCCAGTTCAGGCCCAGTTATGTGTTATTAACTTAGCTGAGACTTGGCCCAGATATGGTCCATGTTTGACCCTTGTATGAAAGTCACTTGGCCCAATCATGTACTGTAATTTACTGCAGCAAATGAGCCAAGCAAAGGATTATTGTGTGGGCCAGATCTAGGCCAGAGACATTTTGCTATGTGGGTTGTTAGTTTTAAAGTGAAAAAATAATCTGCGCAAGTTAATCCACTAATTAAAAACAGTACAGGTAATCTTTAATTAAAATCAAACCATTTGCTTCTACTTTGGAAAGGAAGTGCTTCTCTGATGACCTCAGTTTGACGACTTTGCCAAAAAATGCTTAATCATGACTTTCAAAGCGCTTCAGAAATAAATCCCGCCCCCCAGTGAGTGTATTATACATTGGCAATCAAAGGGTTATTGGTTCATTCCGCTGTGTTGAAATAAAGAGACAGATTAGAGTTTAATTATGAATATGAATATGAAATTATGCAAATTACTATACAATTTATGTTTAATTTCTAATTTGAATATGTCTTATATTATTATTAAATTATGCAAATTAATATACAAATTATGTCTAATTTCTAATATAAACATGTGTCTAATACGAATATGTCTAATTATGAACATGAAATTATGCAAATTACTATTCAATTTATGTCTAATTTCTAATTTGAATATGTGTCTAATATGAATATATGTCTAATCATGAATATGAAATTATGTAAATTACTATACAAATTATGTCTAATTTCTAATATAAATATGTGTCTAATACGAATATGTCTAATTATGAACATGAAAATTATGTAAATTACTATACAATTTATGTCTAATTTCTAATTTGAATATGTGTCTAATACGAATATGTCTAATTATGAACATGAAAATTATGCAAATTACTATACAATTTATGTCTAATTTCTAATTTGAATATGTGTCTAATATAAATATATGTCTAATCATGAATATGAAATTATGCAAATTACTATACAAATTATGTCTAATTTCTAATATAAATATGAGTCTAACATGAATATATGTCTAATCATGAATATAAATATGAAATTATGCAAATTACTATACAAATTGTCTAATTTCTAATATGAATATGTGTCTAATATGAATATGTCTAATCATGAATAAGAATATGGAATTATGCAAATTACATCACAAATTATGTCAAATTTCTAATATGTATATGAGTCTAATATGGATATATGTCTAATCATGAATATGAAATTATGCAAATTACTATACAAATGATGTCTAATTTCTAATATGAATATGTGTCTAATATGAATATGTCTAATCATGAATATGAATATGAAATTACTACACAAAATATGTCTAATTTCTAATATGTATATGAGTCTAATATGAGTATATATGTCTAATTATTCTGAAATTATGCAAATTACTATACAATTTATGTCTAATTTTTCTTTTTTTAGGCTACATGCAGACATAAACACCTATTTTACAAGAAACGGTTTCGTAAATACTTAAGATGTTTTTTGGTGCTCTAGAACTGCCAGTTTCAGACTGTTGAATGGTATTTTTCTCTTGATTGGTGTGATTATGCATTCACAATTGTATGAACCGTTATAGGGCGGGTCAAATGTATATTTATTCATTCATTCATTTTCTTTTCGGCTTAGTCCCTTTAATAATCTGGTGTCGCCACAGCGGAATGAACCGCCAACTTATCCAGCATATGTTTTACGCAGCGGATACCCTTCCAGCTGCAACCCATTACTGGAAAAATGTATTTTTATATTATTACTTATTTATAATATTAATTATCAATATTTCAAATACAGATCAGAGAAAGCTATTTATTATTAAAGGGCTAATCCCTCTATCCATGTCCTTCAGGGGAAATCAAGCATTAATTAGGGGGGGTCAATCCCCCCCAAACCTCCCTGTAATTCGCACCATGCTGCCCCTACTCAATACTCCGTTGGAAAATATGTCATCATACTGACATAATGATGACACAAAGGGAACCTATTATGCAAAAATCACTTTCATAAGAGGTTCAAACACAGTTGTGTGGCAACAGACTGTGATTGTAACCAGCGTCTAATGGTAAAACTGTATTAATTTAGTTTTTTATAATCACACTTGATAAAAACAGTCTGCAGAAACACTTAGATTGATGTTCTCCCCTTGTACGGGTCATCAGAGGGGGAAAGCCCCGCTCACTGGTAATGATCTCTCACTAATAAGCATAGGACGTAAGTCTTGCTATTGAATCTGCCACTGTGCTGACACATGGGCATTTGTAGCTCTGCCCTCTTTTGAAAAGAGCACAATCTCATTTGAATTTAAAGAGACAGCCACCAAAATGGCAAAATTAGGATCAACATGTTTCAATGTGTTATAAAACATTATCTGTGTGGTATTTTGAGCTGAAACTTCACATATACACTTTAGCGACATCAAAGACTTATTTTATATCTTGTTCCCTTTAAAATATAGTTCTGACATAACCAAAAAGAGATTGTTCTACCAATAACAAGAAAACTAAAATTAGGACTACCACTTAACATCCCCATCACTTACACTACGCTTACATTAAAAAATGCCTATGATACATTATTAAATTGTATTTTTCTCCAGAAGTCACTAGACTCCTTCATATAGTCTAAAATTAAATATTTTTTATGAACAAATGTTGAAAGTCTTCCTCTATTCCTGCATTTGTTGTGCTTTCGATGGAAATTACATGAGAAAGAAATCCAGCTGTGAGACTTACTCAACACTTTCTCAAAGAGAAGAGCAGAAGTTCTCGTACGGTGACCTGAGAACTACTGAGAAGATCTGGAGGAGGAACAATGAACAGAGGAAATGAAACCTGAACAAAAGCAAGGAGAGGAACAGCAACTGAGGATTTCTTTGTAAAGATTAAAAAGGGGACAACTTATTGAATGAAAGGCAAGCTTTTTGTCACAATCACCAGCAATCCAGGCTTGTAGATCGCTGGGGATCACTACTCAGTAGGTACTGCATTTGAATTTAAACGTACAACACGGCCACTAGAAAAGTACATTCTATACAGTATAAATGTGAGTAGTATGAA